TAGGCCGCCTTCTATGCAGGAAGACTATGATCATTCACAATTTTCTTGCTAATTTAAGTTTTTAATAGGAAAAGCAAACACACACACACACACACACACACACACACACGCACACACACACGCGCGCGCGCACACACACGCACACACACGCACACTGCCCATGCTTACTCTGTTTCAGAAGCAGCGGGCCGTGTCCTGTGTTATTGCCTTTCTCTGACTCCTCCATGCACATCTGCACTGTGTCATGGACAGCTCCACCAGGGCCCCCCACCCCCCGGGGGCACTCTGCAGGGGTCAGAATAACAGAAAAACATCACTGGGAAGCTCAGCACACCCTTCCCTTGTTTGACTTGGAAATTCTTTCTGAGTCATGTAAGAAGCAATATGTTGAATCCTAGAAGAGGTGGAAATGACATCAGGTTAGGAAAGAGAACCCCAAAGGGCAAAGCCTGTTTTCCTATCCTGGGTCTGGCCGAGAGCATTTGAGGCAGCTGCTGACGGCGGTTGGACTCTTTTGAAGGGGGCTGATTTGTGAAGGGCAGGGCTCTTTCTTTATACTGTACAGTTTCCCCCAACCGAGTGGGGACCCTGGACCTCATAACCTTTCCATATGGTTGAGAGGAAAAGAATAACATTCAACTTCTGTTTAAGATTAAAGGAGTTTGAAAGAGAATGTGTTCTTTGGAGGGGTTCAAAAGGACCCTCATTCCCTGACATACTAACATGGTAGCAGTTTCCTCTTCCCACACCAAACATATGAGCCATGGACACACCCAGGATTAGGCCAATTCCAGGGAGTGACAGTAATAACTGTGCTCTTTCTCCATCACTGAGACCTTCCCAGGATGCAGTAAGTCACAGTAAAAGACTGGAAGAGTAACTAACTCATGATGACCATGGATAATTGTGATGTGCCTCATGTCTAATGATGCTATATGGACTTCTAGCCCTCATCCTGACCTTTGCTTGGTGACTGTGTTGGTTACTTTCCTTATTGCTCTGGCAAAATGTCTGTCACAAACTGCTTAAGCAGGGAAGAGTTTGTTTGGGATCCTATTTTGAGACTGTACTTGTCATCATGGAGGGGAAGGCATGGTGGCCAGAGCTGCTGTAGCTGTGGGGCAGGAGCATGAGGCAGCTGTATCTGCAGGCACATTGTATCTGCAGCCAGCAAGCAGGGAGAGACGGATGCTGGTGCTGAACTGGCTTCCCTCTTCCTCTCTAGTGAGGCCCCCAGCCCAGGGAACCATGCTGTCACACTCAGGAGGGTTCTTCCCTCCACAGTTAAAGCTCCCTGAAGCATGGTCACAGATGTACTCAGAGGTATGTCTCTTAGGGGTGTTAGGATCCTGCCCTCACTCCCACACATGTGCAGCTCGGGATCTTGTGTCTTACATCATCAGCAGGAGCTGGTGACTACGTACCCGCCTTAAAAAGCCGGACTCAGACCCCCACCCTCTCTCTCTCTGTTCCTGCTCTGTTCCCGCCATCTTTCTTTCTCTCCAGGCCTGGCTCTCCTCCCTCCTGTCCCCTCCTTCTTTCTAATAATGCTCTTTGTAACTCTGGTAGTTGTGGCCACGGCCGTGACTTTTCCGCCAGTAACCAGCGCCGCCACCAGCGCCATTTATCATAGCCATCAAGGGGTGTCTGTCAGGTTCAGTCAAGTTGATAGTCAAGATTAGCCTTAGGTAGGGGACTCCTTTTGTAGAAGGGTGAGGTTGGACTGCTGTGCTCATGGGTGGCACCAGCACTCTCCGGGTCCAGATATGTATGCTACATCTTGTGACACTGGGAAGTCTGAGATCCCTGGAAGGGATCATGTTTCAGAAGCTCTGACCATTCCTGCTGGAGTTTCCATTTACTTCTTACCCCTTCACTACATCGTCTTCCTCTCCATCCCTTCCCTAAGCTCTGTCCTCAGGGAAAGAAGGGGTAATTATGCACACGATGGGTCTGGAGGACCAGAGAGGAAGAGGAGACTTTTTTAATGAATGAAGCTTTTGAACTAATCAAGGGAGGTTGGGGGATATAAGCAAGGTAGTTGAGGTGAGGAGTTTGGAAATGGCAACTCTGACTACTCCGAAGTCCGTTCCATTGTTGATGTTAAAGCTTCTCTGTTAACAAACAAGTCCTGTTGTTAAAACAGCTTTTTCTCCCCCGAAAGTAATGTGTTAAAATCTGGTATTTTGGGGGCCTTGGTGGGAGGAAAGTTCTGGCCCTTTCTGAAGTTCATTTTATTGATTGCAGGATGAGAGTGCACAAGGTAGAGGGACTGACCAGCTGATGGGTGTGAGAGGAGTCCCCAACAGAGGAAAGAAAACCAGGCTCAAGGCTTCAGAAAATAGACTTCACGTGCCCCCCCAATTTTGACAAGGGTCAGCCTGCCCTGGGAACTTCCCTGCTGGGATGAAGTGAGACCCAGTAAACAAATGAAAATCAAGGGACCTGGGTATATGCCTTTTTTTTTTTTTTTTTTTTTTGGTTTTTTGAGACAGGGTTTCTCTATGTAGCTTTGCGCCTGTCCTGGAGCTCACTTGGTAGCCCAAGCTGGCCTCGAACTCACAGAGATCCGCCTGGCTCTGCCTCCCGAGTGCTGGGATTAAAGGCGTGCACCACCACCGCCCGGCGTTATGCCTTTAATCCTAGGCTGAGGCAGGTGGATCTCTGTGAGTCTGAGGCAGCCTTGTCTACACTGTAAATTCCAGGTCAGCCAGAGCTATACAGTGAGACCATGCCTCGAAAAATCAAAAAGACCCTTGATAGCACTTGCTCGTTCCTAGTCCCTGGAGCTTGCAGCCCTTCAGTGAATAGACGTTGAGGCCCTCCACATTCTAGGCCAGTCGACAAGGGCACTCACTGTAAGTGAGGTGCACTTACCCATATGGACGTCTCTTGTCACCAAATGAAGACTCGGTTCCAGAAATGAGTTACATCTAATGGAGTCACTGTCTAAAGGGGCTCCATGAGAACCCCCAAACAATCCAGGCTGTTGGTTGCTCTCCACAAACTGATGGTAAGACCCTGTTGCTGAAGTCAACACCCTCACAACTCATTGAGCACAAAGAAGTCAAACTGGTGCCTATCTAGAGCCTTCACCCCCACTGACTAGTGTTCAGAGTACTGGGAGAGACTTTGCGTGCTCCAGGAGAACGGTAGCCACCAACCCACCTACAAGTCCTTTAGTGTACAATTGTGAGCTGCCTGCAAGATGTGCTATGCAACAGTGGCACAAATCTTGTGGGAGTGACCAAGCCATATTTGATTGGATTTAAGGCCCACTTCACGAGATGGAACACCTCCTTGACACTGCTCAGGTGGCAAGAGCCTGAGACCAGATAGGCTAGGGACCTAGGAGGAAGCCAAATGCTACTGTTGTGTTAAAGGAATGTAGCCATGCAATGACTTCTAACTATGTTGTTATTCTTACAGAGCAGTGTCTTGTTCAACCATCATCAAAGAAGCTTCCTCCTGCTGTACCTGGGAGTAAATACACAGACCCACAGCTGTAAATTGTACGGAGAATGAGAGGCCATGGAATACTCAGTTCTAAATGTAAATGTCTCCATCAGTTTCCTTCCCTGTGGCTCAGGGAAGCCTGTGGAAGAGGAGGTGGGAAGATGGTAAGAGGGGATGGAGAACACCATGAAATAAGGTAATGTGGGATAATCCTTCTGTGTACTTATAAATTATGCTATGATTGGTTTAATAAAGAAGTTGACTGGCCCATAGCTGGACAGGATAAGGTTAGATGGGAAAACTAGACTAAGGACACTGGGAAGAAGAAAGGCAGAGTCTGAGAGGTCTCGAGGAGATGCAGGGGGATCGAGACATGCTGCTGGAGGACAGGTAAAGCCACAAGCCACGTGGCAATACATAGAATAATAGAAATGGGTTAATTTAAGTTGTAAGAGCTAGTTAGAAATAAGCCTGGGCTATTGGATGAGCATTTATAATTACTATTGAGTATCCATGTAGGTTATTTGGAACTGGCAGCCGGGACAGAAAAGCCTACTAACAAATGGAGTTCCAATGTGGGGCCAGAATTTCCACATAACACCTAACAAAGCTTAAAAAAAGGATTCTAAACACACAAAAACAGAGTCAAGTGTGGCTTCTTGGTAACTGCCTTTTCTCAGGTAGGCTCTGTTTGCTAGCGGCAAGTAGAGTCGCAGCTCCATTAAAAGACAACTTTCTGGTTTGGTGCTAGTGATAAAAATGGGTGTGGCTCTTGTAAGAGGCCCTGCTACTGAACGCTTAAATGGGGTTTGTGAGCAGTGGGTGGCATGCTACGTGGTGGCAGTGTGGACCCCCAAACTCCCCAGAGTTGGGGTAGTAAACATGGCTCTCTCACTAGTACTTCTGCAATGAAGCTAGGCTCTCAGGGAACCAGGCAGGGCAGAGCCAGCTACCAACGCAGAGGCGGAGGTCCTAGCCACGCTGCTTAGCAATTTAAAGGTTCATGCGGTCAGAAAAAGATTACAGATGTGCCCTAAAGAGAGATTCAGATGAAAAAAAAAATCCCTCTAAACAGGTTATAGTATGTTTTAAAATGTGCAAAGGCTTGGGAGAGAAAAGAAAAAAGGTATAGACAGTCAAAAAAAGAAATATATAGTTTTAAAATAATAAAATAAAGTCCTTTAAAAGGGAGTAAAGTATTATAAAAGAAAAAAGCCCCATAAAGATGGGAAATACACAGAGAGTCTGGATACTGTATGCTATTATGTTCTCTTTGAATTTTTTTGGCTTCTAAGAGACACTGGATTGTAACAGCTGCTAGATTAAACCAACCTATATATTTTAAAAATACCTTGACTTTAAATTTTAAGTCAAAAGGTATGTTGCTTTGGGGGAGAGGTTATGCTTTTATTTCCACAGGAAATGAGAAGCTGTAATTTTTTTTTTTTTTTTGCTTTAGTTAAAGAACAAAGCTTTTAATAAAGAGACTTTTCTAGACAATCTTTTTGGCAAAAAAAAAAAAAAAAAAAAAAGTGCCATGGCAAGCCACCACCCCGCAGCCCTGAGAGGAAATATATGTGTCACCAGCAGCTGTGGTCATTCCTGCAGCAGCTCAGAGGAAGAGGAAGCACTCAGTCCAAGGGTAAATCCAGGTCCACAGGTGAGATGGCCAGGATGCCCGCCCAGCCCCCATGGGCCTGGATCCAAGGCGCAAAGCTGTGTACATGTTCCACGCTGAGGCCGGCCAGGGTACCCCCCAGTCCAGCCACACGCCGGCTCAGCTCCATGGCCAGAGCCAGGCGGGTCAGTGGCTCCGGGGATGGCGGTGGGGGTGCCGGGCATGGCAGGGAGGGGCTCGCACAGCTTTGGGAGGAGCTGACTTCCCGGCTGGAGAAGAGTTCCACGAGGCGGGCGAAGGAGCCTGCTGACAGGCGAGCCAGCTTGCGGTGCAGAGCAGGATCAGAAGCTAGCTTTTGGTTGATGACTTCTGCCTCCTCCTCCAGCAAGGCTACCAGCCTCCTTAGCAGGGCTTCCTTTTCTGTGGGTGGGGGTCCCTGGAATTCTGGGCTGGGCGGAGATCTCAGTTGCTCTTGGACCAACTGTTCCAGACGCTGGGCAACCAGGGCATAGAAGTCTGAAGTCGCTGGACCAGGCTCAGAGCCATAGCAGGGGCGTAGGGGAAGGAAGCAGGGCCGAGAGGATTCCGGGGGAGGGGCTCCTCTCCCCAGGGGACAAGGGAGGCATCTTCGGAGGCGGCTCAGGAAATCTGTTGGCTCCTCTTGGGCAGGGCTCCTGGGTGGAGTTGGGACAGGGGACCCAGCAGCTTCACCTCGCCTAAGGAAAGCAGCCAGAACCGAACCTTCAGTGTGTCCTCTCGGAGCCCCAGCTCTTCAGAGCCGGCCATGGAGGCACCTGAAGGAGAGGACAAAGGATGAACTCAAGTGCAATGATATGCTCAAACCTCCGAGTCCCTAAAATGAAGAGGGCGCCAGACCGACTCCTAGAAGGTGGCCAAGGGCCAGTGAGAGAGCTGATTCCATCGAGCAAAAAGTCTGGAGAGAGCAGGGTCTAAGAGAGGAGATAGCTGAGTGCTTGGACTTTTATATCCAGGAGAGGGAAGGGGGTTTGGAGCTCCCAGCCTTGCATGCTGAAGGAGCCATTCATCGAGGTATTTCGAGAAGCTGTAATTTTATTCTAGGTTAAAGTAAATCAGGTTTAATTGGGGAAAACCCCTTGAAGTCCTGGCTACAGACATTTAAAAAAATAAACCTAGAAGAACTAGAAGACACATAACATATATTTCACCTGCTCAAACATAAAACAAACAAAAAAATCTTTAACTGACTTGTACACACCACATATTCATACTTGTCACGTATGTTAACTATAAAAATTTATGTATTTTCAGAACAAGAGGACCAAACACCAATGAAAACTGATGGCCCAGGTGACCTGCATTTCAAAATGCCTCTGTTACACTCTCCTCAGAATTCTGCATTCTAAATAGCTTCAAGGCTGCTTGCTGAGATGGTCCAACCTCACAGACTACTCCAGCCAGGAATTCATTATTATCCCATTTTTCTCAAGGTTCCCCCAAAGATACCAGCATTCCTAGACAATAGGAAGTAGTCTAGAGAATGATGTTATGGATGTTTGCTGTCATTTAAGAGGAGTTGGTTACAAGTTGTTATTGGTAATGGTCAGAAAAAAATCTGAACAAAGGAGATTAGATTCTGGGATCTTGTTCTGAAAAGAAAAAGTGGAGATATAGAAATGATAGGATATAAGGGTAGATTATTGAATCTACTTTAATCTGAAAAACAGCTATTAATCTCAAAATATTTTACATTGGTATGGATTTTGGTTTATTGATATAAACTTAGAGTTATCTTTACTATACTATATGTATGTTTCTACTCTTGTTTAGGGTATTGTGCTTATGCAGCTCATTTAAAAATGTAATATATAATTCAGAAATATAGATTAATAGTCATTTATAGTAATCTAACTGATAGTCATGTTAGGTATGTTTTCAAGGTCATACACATATATTTAGATAGATAAGTGGTCTTCAAATACTTCAGAGATCTACAGAATATGGCATTTAAGATGTTTTAATAATATAAGGCATTTTATGACAATGAGACATATCTGCTCCTGGCAGCACCAATCTATTTCAGAGAAGATGATGGCCATCAAAGAAACTCCATATAGAGTTTGCTTTATTTATGGCCAAGTTAGCCACTGGACAAGAAACTGCCCTTATCTCAATTGCTGACAGTATACTGTCCAAACTGGACCAGCAGGACACACACAAAAAAATCAACTGCCAAACTTTGCCAAGACAAGGTAGGATAGTCCTGCTTCTCAGAAAAATCTATCAGATATACTAGACCTATAGGCTAAAGATGGATGCCCCAATGTTGCAGAAGAACTTTGGGTGACTGTCCAGGCAGCCAAATGTCCCTGTCATTAGGTAACATTTCACTCTTTTGGGGTTTTTGATGGAGTTGAAGACTAGACAGTCACAGTTAAAGTTTTCCTTATTTATGATAAAAGGTAATTAGGTATAAAACCTTAGACTCACAAAGATAAGATAAATAATAGAGTACTTTCTCTAAATTTGCCAAATACAAATGGACTGTATACTGTAACTGTAATTCTTTCTTGATAACTGTTTTGTTGTATATAAATTTACTATGTTAAAGTCAAACCCTTTTTTATTTAGACAAAAAGGGGGAAATTCTGTGGAACAATCCTTCTGTATACTGTGTAAATTATGATGTGATTTGTTTAATAAAGAAGTTGACTGGCCAATAACTGGACAGGATAACATTAGACAGGAAAACCAGACTAAGGACACTGGGAAGAAGAAGGGCGGAGTCTGAGAGGTCTCCAGGAGATGCAGGGGAAGTGAGACATAATGCTGGAAGACAGGTAAAGCCATGAGCTACGTGGCAATACATAGATTAATAGAAATGGGTTAATTTATGTTGTAATAGTTAGTAATAAGCCTCAGCTATTGACCAAGCATTTATAATTAATATTGAGTCTCTGTGTCAGTTATTTGGGAACTGGCAACCGGGAAACAGAAGTCCACCAACAAAAGGTTTCCAAATACAGCAGGACAAATGCATACATGTGCTCATAGAGACTGTAGCAACATGTAAAAAGCCTGCAAGGTCTGGGCCTGACGGGGTCCCAGCGCTGATAATGGAAGTGGATATATCCCTAAAATAGAAGCTATTTCCAATTAACAACCACTAGCAAATGAAAAATTAGTTTTCTCCAACAGAGTCTCACTGTGTATACGGACTGCTCTTAAGGGCAGGTCCCATGCCCAGCACATGATCAACACAAAATGACCAACACAAAACTAACTATGATATTTTTAGAGTTTGTTTGTTTGTTTGTTGTTTTTTGTCTCACAGTGCTTTGTCTGGACATTTCTTTATTTTTTCTTTTCTCACCCTAAAGGTCTTTTGCTTAAAATGGTTTCTGATTTTGCATGTTTATGGAATTTCTGTGTTTGCCAGTGTGGGTGTATCTGTGTCTATGTGTGTTTCTTGTGCTTATTCTTTGGTTCTTTGTTTTTCTGTTTGTTTGCTTTATCCAATTTAGGTTTGTTTGTTTTTATTTCATCTTATTTTATTATTTTTTAGATTCCTGTTTGTTTTCTGATGAGAGAGAGGACAAAAGGGGTGTAGATTGGGGTTGGTAGGGAGAGGAGGATCTGGGAGGAGTTGGGGGAGAGGAATCATAATCAGAATAGACTGTATGAAAAACCTGTAGACTGCTGGTTGTTTTTAGAGACAGGGTTTCTCTGTGTAGCCCTGGCTGTCCTGGAACTCACAGAGAGGCACCGTCTCTGCCTCCTGAGTTCTGGGATTAAAGGAATGCACCACCACACCTGGCACAAAAACTTATTTTCAATAAAAATAAAATAAATAAGTGCCTCAAACATCTCGAGCAGAATCATATTTTTGAGACATAGCAAAAATAAATCCTGAAAAGTTATCAACATAAATATGAATACCTTTGAAATGACTAAAGGAAATTTAAATTTTTTTGAACCTATGACTATGGTTTATTTTTTTAAAGTTTTAGTAGCCAGTGTTTATAACTGCTACCAAAACTAGATGAATCACTTATGACAATTCTATTGAATTAAATGGAGGTTTAACACTGATAATTAAATTTTGAACTTTGAAATTTTAATACCATATTATCATCTTTAAGTCTCTTAAATCACTTTCTCAGACCCTCATGACTCCTGTCTTAGTTTGGGTTTCTATTGCTGTGAAGAGACTCCATGACCATGGTAACTCTTATAAGGGAAAACATTTAATGGGTGGCTTACATTTTCAGAGATCTAGTCCATTATCATCATGGTGTGACACAGTGGCACGCAGGCAGACATGGTGCTAGAGAAGTGTCCTAGGTCTTGACACACAGGCAACAGGAGTGGTCTGTCTCACTAGGTGTAGCTTGAGCATAGGGGACCTCAAAGCCCACCTCCACTGTGACACACTTCCTCCAACAAAGCCACACCTGCTCCAACAAGGCCACACCTCCCATGGTGCCACTCCTTTTGGGGGCCATTTTCTTTCAAACAGCTTACATTAGCCTTTTCTTCCCTTTCCATCTGGGAACAACCCATCATTTTAACCTTCATTTCAACTTACTTAAACATTTTATCTTTTTTCCCATGCAACACATCCATTCATTTTAGCTTTCACATATAAATCTTTTTATTAAAATTCTTTTCATGTTTAACATCCATTTGATCCTTTTGCTTACAGTTTGCTTGTTTCTTAATATCATGAGACATAAGGTACTTGGTTATTGAGAGTAGTCATTGCAAAAGAAAGCTTTTTCGAATCATCATTGGAACATGAAGGAATAGTGAAAAAGGAATTGTTAAGTCAGCAACAACATGGCTGTTTTGACTTTGCTTTTTTACTGAAACCTGTTTGTGAGTTTACCTATCATAGAAGGAAATCAGCGCTAGGAAAACTCAAGGCCTGACTTTTACACTTGAAACATTTATAGGTCTAATCAGAATTTGTATTTTTGTAAGTCAATGAAAGAAATAAGGTGGTAGCTACCTCTTGTCTTTTTATAACTTGTTGCAGAAGATTAACAATGTCCATTAAGTTCTTCATAGGTTTTGTCTGTTAGGGGAAGACTGAGTGTGTCTTAAAATCAAGGACTTCTACTTACTCATGTTATTTAAGCCCTTGTGACATTTATGAGCCTATTGGGAAGGTCCATTTTGTTGTTGTTGTTTTTTATTAACCAATATAGACTGGCAGGTAGTTGAGTCTTGGCTTGCAGCTTTTTATCTAAGAGACTCAGGTAATTTAAACTTTCCTTGAAAGATCTCAAATTTGTATCACCAGCAAGCAACACGTCTGTCCCGTGCACTCTAAGTTGTAAAGCCGGAAAGGTGAGGAGCTGATGGAGACCTGCTTGCTGCTATGGCAGAGGGTGGCAAGGTGGCTCACCTGTCTGGTGAAGATGGTGCTGGGACCAGGAGATTCTCAGAGACCAGAAAGGGAAAGTTCCAGAAGGAGTTGGATAAAAAGAAAGGGAAAAAGTCTAGTTTGGTGCTATATTCCTGCCCAATTACAGGGATGGGCACACTGAGGAAGGATCAAGTGACCTGGTGGCCCAGAGGGAACAGAGGAGAGGACTCATAACCCTAGGCTGGTGGTGCCAGCTGTCAACATCCATCACAGAGATCTGAGAACAATAGGTTTTGCCAGAGTGTACAGGAAATATGGACAAAGTAACCCCTGTGTCAATTAAAAATGACAGGGACTTACCAGATATCTGTGCAGTTACCCTGGGCTCTTCTGTGACCATCTCAATGGTTTTGGGGGAGGGATCCCTGGGCAGCGTCAGTCTGTGGCCACCAGGCCCAGAAGCTCTGAGGAATTCTCCTGTGGAGAGAGAACTTGGGGGATTTGATCGCCTTGGAGAGGAAAAGAAGGATGGTCACCCCTGCAGTGTCCTGCCTGTCCTGACAGTTTGGCCAGGGTCCTGGCAATGGGCAAGGCACAGGACAGTTCTTTTCCCAGTGACCAGTACTTCTACCAGAAGTGGGTCTCACATGGAGTCT